TGTTGTACCCAGGTGATCATTCAATTCACATTCTCTTTTCTGAGCTCGATCCTAGATCCTCACACTGCTGACCTCGTGCACTTGAACCCCCCAACCTCCCCTTCCCACACACTTCCTGTTTCACAGCCGAACGGCGCGAGCAGCGCCCACTCTCTGAGGTAATCGCATCCTCGACCCAGGCGGGAAGAACAGCGCCCCGGGGGACGTGGTCCGACTTTGAACCGCTGGGCGGGCCCTACCCCAAATGCGCCGAGCAACCCCGACGGAGCTTTGGACGCAGCGATTGCCGGCTGGGTCGAGGAAGAGGAACGGCGCATTCTCGAGCTGAACCAGACTATTGAGAGGCTCGAGGGGAATCGCGGCTCTGGCGCCCGCATTGCTGCTCCGCGAGCATCACCCCGGCCCACCCGCCTGCGTGACGCCTCGGTTGATGAGCCCGCACCGTGTCGCCAGCGCACGGCGACGGGCCGGGCTAGTGCTCGTCGGGCGGAGGCGACGGGAGAGCCGCGGTCGCCCATGGTGGAGCGTGCACTTGCGCGCGAGATTCGAAGGGCGAACAATGGTGGTCGCGCCACTCCCGGGATGGTGAACTGGGCTGACCGCTTACAGGAAACGCATGTTTTGTTTCCATCCATGGACGACGTTTTCAAGGTAGACGCCGTGCTAGCACTGCAGATGCTTTTTTCAGATGCGCTGCATTGGCCGTGATTGTTTGTGATCATCGTTCCTGTGTGGGATAAAAACTAATGTTCATCAATGGGGACTCCATGACTACAGGCCGTCGTGGAGGACATGATAAAGATTCTCACTTATGACAGGGCAGTCGCAGAGCTTACCTTTTGGATGCCGCCTGCCCTGCTCGAGCGCCTTTTGGCGCGCGCTCTGCGTATCACCAGCCAGTCACATCGCACCATGCTCCACATGTTGCTGGCGCACGATGAGAAGCGGACCGGGTGGATTACACGCCAGATGCAGGTCTGGCGCAACACCAAATGGGAACAGGGACGGGCGTATGTCTACATCCTACATGGTCTGCCGTACAATGCAGGCTCCAATCCGTGCATTTCTCTGCCGGCGACTCCTAGCGCACAGGAGGTGTTACGCATCTCGCGCAAGCAGTTTGTCAAACATTACCCTGCCGATGAGCGTATGTCGCCTGGTCACATTCTATTGCTGCAAGCTATGGCAATGCCTGTACTTCGCCTTCTATCTTTATTCGTGCGTTGTTTAAATGGAGTGTGTGCTGTGCGTGTTTCAGGGCTCGGGAGTTTTGAGCTGCACCCCTGGCATCGCAACGCTGCAGGAATTCCGTTTGCAACTGAGAAGTTTGAGCGCGCAACATTCGCCTCTTTTCGTCGCCCGATCCCGCCTCCGCTGCTTCTGCGCACGTATCACGTTGCTTTCTGGCTGTTTGGGGTATGTGGTTGTTTTTATACTAGTAGCGTCCTGGTAAATGCGCAGTTGCTTTCTGACACCTAATTCCAACTTGTTTTGTTTCTGCAGGTTGAGTTTCCGATTGTCAACAGCGGCTCTTTGAAGCGCAGCGCACCGCAGAACGAGGAAGGGGTGCGCTGGTATCACGAGCGCGTCAAGCGCTGGATGCATAGTGTGATCATCCGCCGCTCTATTGAGCACGGCCCGTTTTGGGATTCCGAGAGGCGCGGTTGGAGTTTCCGCCGCGGCAGCACTCTCCGCATCCTGGAGGACGGGATGGAACACCTGTCGCCTACCCTGCCTGGTGTCGCCCCGCCTCCCATTCCGCCAGTTACCCCGCGCGCCGGGGTCGCATATGTGCCATGCCGCCATACCCTGTGACGCGGATGAAGACTGTCTGAACATTGCTCTAACAAACCCTAGAGATTGCTCGTCACGAATGCCGTTGGAGTGTTTGCGCATTCCCGCCCCTTGCCTAGGCAATCCGCATAATAATGTTAAAGGTTTGTTCGCTCGGAGTACTTCACGCATTCCCTAAACATTGTTTTTAGCATTGTTTCCCCCAAAAAAATTTGTGACGATGGCGCCAGGTGCGTTGAGTAGGAACCGATGAAGAGAACGAGAAGAACGATGGGTATCAGCCTCGTATTCTCCATTACGTTCATCCAACTCATAAACTGCGTTAGCTTTGGCGGTGAACGATTATAGACGCTGACTGGTTATGCTGCTGGTGAAGTTCGAGCTAAATCTGGAGGAAGCAGGTGTGCGTTTGGTTGCTCTACGGACAGATGAAAAAGCAAGTTCAGGTTTGCTGGATGTGGTTGGAGAGAATTTGTGTTCCAATTTATGATACCAATCGGATGATCCGCGATTCGGCTGATATCAGCGCGCGGCGATCCCGACATTGCGACGAAGGCGAAATGCAACCTCGGACCTTGATTGCCGTGAGCGAGACGGGAGAGGGAAATCGGAGCTACAGTTACGGACTTTGATCACCGTGCGCGAGACATGGAGGTGCAATGCGGAAAAGAGTTACGGACTGACGAAAAGTTCATGCGAGCCAAGAAGTTACCAACCCGCTAAGGAGATACTGAGGACAACGTGAGGACCAGACGTTAGACAACCTTTGCAGTATGTCACTCGGCAATGGCTCTCTTGGGATCACGTTAAATGCAATGAAATGAGAACCTGTACATCATTATTACAAACAAGGCATATGAATCCATTCAAACAGGTTGCAAGTACGCATACTGCCATTCTCACTCAACTGACACTCCCTTTTTCACCCAATTCATTGCATAAGGATAAGTAGGTGGACAAGTCTCCAATAGCCAGAGCTCGTGCCACTGACCCACCCCATCCTACTAAGATGCTGCCTGTCATAACGTAATCCTTCATAAGCTGTTATAACGGTTCATGTCAGAGACCGACTGTGGTTGCTTGCTTCCATCCACATTTACAAGAGTCCTTCATAAACTGTTAGTACGGTTCATAATCAGAGACTGACGGTTGGTCCTTGCTTCCTTTCAACTAGCTCCACTGCACGGAAAACTCTGGAGAATCCACGTGGAAGCAAACTGATTCTCCCTGAATATGCTTGGATCCCTACCGTGATCCCAATAAGGCCCGCCTGGTGGCCTCTAAACGTGCTGTAGATGCGATCTTTTCCTCGTAATAGTCCTCCTCGTCGCCGTCAAGTTGCATGACTTCAAATCTTCGACTGACAATTTCACCAAACAAGTTCCTCGTGAAATTAAAACCAGAACTGTACCAGATAGACGCAGCCTCGGCAGGGGTGACTCCAAAAGTTCCGATGGTTTGACTTAATTTCTCAGGCTTTGAAGCGCGAAACCTCTCCCCAGCAGCGACAGAAGCGGCAAAAGGGGCGGAGAAAGGCGAGGCGAACGGAGAGGCGATTGGGGACACGAGCAGGGAAGCGAGCGGGGACAGTACGGCAGACGTTGATGAGGCAGCTCCGCGATTTACGGAACCAGTTGAGCAAGACTTGGGGAAGCGCGAGCGTGTGCTGCCGAGGGACGGTGCGGCTTTCACAGCGACAGAGGAATGAGCCATAGCTTTCCGTCGAAGAAGCTTTTAGTCAAAGGAGCTCTTCGGCGCGCTGCTGAGAGTCTGGGACGTAACGGGCCGCTGGCTGGCAGCTGAGAACCAAACTCAGGCTCGAAGTCGCGAGAGGCTTAGGTTAGGTTGCAATCGCTGCGAAGTAAGAAATATTGCTGCGGAAGCGCACTGGTTGGAGGGGACAATCCATCAGAAAAATGTAGGGAAAAATTATGGCAGTTTCTGGGAAATTATACGCGAGTAACTAGCTGAAATTGGCCGTTTCCCTAGTGCCCCGTAAATGGAGTGGCGTATGGGCTTAATTTCCCGTTTTCCGCGAACCGCGTGAACCAGAGGTTACGCCCGATTTTTCTGCTACACTGACGCGTAGTTATCGGCCAGGTTCTCGCCAACACCGCCAAGTTTGCCAGTATCCCGCAATCACGGAAGAAGGGGGCTTCGGGAGTGCTCGGTGTTTGACCATTTCCCGAGCCCCCCGGAGTTGACCCATGTTCCTCCGGAGACTGGGCTTGCGTGGCAGTTTACCGTCTGCTTCTCGGTCGTGGGGGATGGGCCTGAAATTTTCGTCCAGAGACTGGTTACTGTTACCCGACGAACTTCGTGCTGCGCGGTAATGAGGTAACCGATCGTGGTAACAGCTGAATACACCGACAGTGTTCTAGATTTCGAATTGCTCGGACCTTGAATTGTGAAACATGTTTTATTGTGTCATTATGTGTCTATAGCGGAGGTACTGTTTCTATTACCGATAAATATGAATATTATAATGCTACGATTCACATTTATAATTAATTAATGCTACATTTGTTATTGATGCTACTATTAGCTACTTCAGGAAATTGAAACAGAAATCAAAACATTAATTAAAAAACAGTTACAAAATTAGCAGGTTAATAAGCCTCAGGCCACTCCCCTCCCTGAGGAACCCCACGAGGAAAGAAATAGGATTCCCAGCCCTCAATTAAAATCCTCACTTTAAACTCCTTGTTACCATCCTTGAAACCCTCACACATCTCAAAACCCTGCGGCTCATCTGCCTTGAACAGCGCAGGGTTCCTCTCGAGACAATCCTTCAGCCAGGATGCACAGACAGCAGTCTTTGCTGTCACACAGTTGCGGTTGTTGAGCTCGACTGTGTCCAGGGAAGGCGAGTTCTTGCCCTTCCAGTGAGCCATGGGCCACTCCACCTGGAAGAAAGCACAAGGTATTGTTAAACAGTGTTCATTACAGGATGCTTTTAAGCACAAAGTTGCAGCATATATATACGAAAAACACTTACCACATGGCAGAGATAGCCTAGGCCAGGGATCTTCAGGGGGAAAGTTGTGGCTTGGTTGCTGCAGAAACCCTTCGTGACAGCCAGCACAAATGCCAGGTTAGCAAACGGTATGCCTTCAGCAGAGCAATGCCATCGTGAGCCGTATTTTCCTGCAAGGAAGTTGAAAAACCAATCGTCAGTGACTGCAGCTACAAAAGTTTAGAGGAGCTTAACAAACACTCAAAGACTCACCGTCCTTGAAGTAAGCCGTCCAGACGACTGGATCTCTAAACTCGGTCGGCCTCAGGCCGATCTGCTCCAGCTCGTGCCACCTTTCCTTCGCCACGCCACCTCCAGCGCCGCAGCCATAAAGTTTCATAGTCTTGTTCATAGTTTGCCGCTTGTTGACAATCTTATCCATTGCCTCGTCCTCCTTCAGCTTGTCACCTCCTGCCACGAAGTAATACAGGTCCTTGCAAACACCCAGCCGCACATACCTCCGCACCATCAAAGAAACCAGGTCTGGCCAATCGGGGTAGAACTGCATCGACTTTGCCGGCCCAGCAGTAATCATCCCGACGTACACGGCGAGCGCGTTTTTCTGTTTCAGGGAACGGGAGACAAAAAACAGATGAAACAGACGTCAGGCCAGGGTTAGGTGTGACGGTTAGTATCGGGGTAGAACTGTAAATCACTCTTAAAAGCAAAGCACTCACCGCGAACGCCTCGTCGTCGGACAAGCTGCTGGGAATGTGGATTTTCCCGTCCACCTTCGGCAGCCTGTCCATGTTGATTCGGGGGTCGTCCACGTCATCAGGTCCATCTATTGCGTGCGTTCCGGATCGAAACGCCTGAATCTCATCCCGAAGCGCCAAAACCTCTTGACGCTGCTCATCCCTCTCCTTTTCGATCTGCTGCTGGGTCGTTTGATTGTACTGCATCACCGCCAAGGTGTTGCGCAGGTCCTCCAGCTCGGCTTCAAGTCGTCGGTTGATGGCGGCATGATGCGCATCGGGAACTGCAACGAGAAAATTTGAGCATCGTTGGAAGAAAGGTTTATGCGCCGGGTGTGCCAAGACAGCATCATCACTAACAAATACATTGGAATCAGCCGAGTGCGAGTAGGAGAGAAATAAGCAAGGTGAAAATTACGACCAATGTGCTTACGAGCTGAACGGGCTCCTCTGATCGGAACCTGGTTTTCACACGGCGCAGCCCCGTTACCAACTGCTGCTCCAGCGTGCGCAGCGGGGAGAACTGGCTCGAAATGTGGCTGCTGTTGATTCTCATCGCCTGCGGCATCTTCACCGTCCTCTTGTTCCTCGCCTTCGTGGTCGTCATCTTCCTCGCTTTCCGCATGGCCCTCCTCGCCGCCTGCCTCAACGCCTCCATCGTCGCCTTCCTCCACTTGCGAGTGATGGAAACCACCGCGCAAAGCTTCCGAGTCTGCAGGAAAAGTTACGAGTTGACCGTGCAGGCCAGCTATGGTTACGGTGCCAGGTGCATCAGCGGCTTCCGTCTCAGTCATCGGCTCGGGTTCAGCGGCGGTGCCATGGGGCGAGGTCCTAAGAGGTTCGTTTGCGGTTTGCCTTTGTAACTTCTTCAGTGAACCCGTCTTCCGCTTCCTCCCAGTCTGTTTCCTAGCTGCTTTACGCTTGAGCAAGCGCAACAGCAGGGCCTCCTCTGCATCCTCTGTGAGGTCTGGCTCACCCGAGTTTGAGAATGGGGAAGGCAGAGTGACCCCTCCAGTCTGGTTTGGACCTCCAGGTCCAACCACTCTCTTTCCTCCTAAAGCAGCTGCCCGACCTACGGCAGTACCGCGTTGCTCCATGTGGAATTCCGCCACTTTTGGGCGGTAAGCGCCCGTGAATACCCTTTTATCGTGGGAGGGAAAGCAGATCGTGAATATATTGAACGCGCTCAGTGACTTAAGCAGGGTGCCCGAAAAAAAACGACTTGACCATTTTCGGGGCGGGCTCCGTGGATTCGAGTGACCAGGTAAAGTTCATGTGTGTGCCAACGCAGCCAGTCACTCTGCGCACACTCGTTCATGAACCCGAAAGTGCGCGCACAGATGGCCACTCGTTCAACCCGAAAAAGAAATAAACCAAGTGCGCGCAGCGCGGTCTCGTTGGTGCCAACGCAGCCAGTCGTCAGTTTGCAAACACCATTCACCTGGGACAGCAGTTGTTGGCAAACAACTCTGATTGGTCCTTTTTGAGAGCACATGTAATATATCTGTGGCAACGTGGCACAAGGGATGCACAAACGTGACGCGGCGTCGGCCTAAACAGAGCTGTGCTGGCAATAAGTGGCACGATACACGTGATGGGCGATTAGACGCTCTAAAGAATGGGGAATCCTGTGCTGTATCAGGATTTCTGCAGTTCTCAATTTCTTTAAAAATGTTACAATTGCATTTTTTAGAACCAGCAAGGGTAGCAAAATACATGCAAATTAATTAAGACGAAGCAAAGGACTTTAGCAAACATACATGCAGCAAGACTGCATGTTAACTGTAAATCGGTGCAGCAAGCACCCCTATTGACGAAGTCCCCGATGTTAATTGGTATAGTGTGAGAGCAATGCCCTACTTCATTATCTTCATGGGTTGATGAGTCGAAACTTACGGTATTCAGGCAGAACATTTCTCGATGATATTTGGTTTGGGAATATCTGACGACTACGGTGCCAAAGACGGTGAACGCAGCTCCACGTGGAATGCGGCACGAACGTGCCAGACATCTGCAAATAGCAATAACAATGGCGTTGACTGTTGGCGTGGGCTGTCACAGTTTCATCGTCTAGCTGCTTCTCTAGCACCATTGAGTGAAATCACATTCGGAAAGTTTTTCTGTTACATTGCCGCAGCAACTGGTTTGAGCTGATCCACACAACAACGCAACGCGTGACGCTTGGTAGTGCGGTCGCTGGCCAGAAACCATGCAATGATTGGCCAGTACGAAGGAGGACATCGTTTCATGATCTAGGAGATTATATTAGCACCAAATCTTCACACATTCATGCATTTCAAACATTTACATTGTCACAGAAACTCGAGTGACGCTCATCCGCACAGCTAGGCAGCAAGTGACGCTTCTTTGAGCGTTCGATGGCTAGAACTTGTGCATGGATAGGTCAGGGCGCAACATGTCACGATTTCATTGGGTATCTGCTTGTTTTTTTACTCACACTCTTTCACTCACCCATTCTATTCAAGAAATAACCTTGTCTTAGGAACTCGTCCGAGGTCATTTGCACAAATACGCAACAAATGACGCTCCTGTGTGCGTCTGACGACTGAAACAGTTCGAGGATAGGCCAGGGCGCAACATGTGACCGCTTCATTGTCTCGCGGATTTTTTTAGCAACAACTCTACAAGAAAACAGGTACTGAATACAAGTACCTTGCCTTAGGAACTCGATTTGAGTTTAGTCTCAAAAGTACGCGACACGCGACGCTTCATTGTGCGTTCGATGGTCTGAACCTGGGCGAGGATAGGTCGGGGCGTTATGTGTCACCGTTCCATCATCTATATGTTTTTTTAGCACCATTCAAAACTCGTGTAGGTACTCCAGTTAGTTAGCTTACCAAAGGAACTCGTTTGAGATCTGTCGCACGAGTACGCAGCCCGTGAGCCTTCATTGTGCGTTTGATGGTCTGACCATGTGCGATGATAGGCCAGGGCGCAACATCTCACCGTACCAACGTCTTGCTGTTTCACATAGCAACAATTACACACTCATTCAGGTACTCTAGTCAATTACCTTGCTGTACGAACTTGTTTGAGTTCATTCGCACAAGTACGCAGCACGTGGCGCTTCTTTGTGCGTTCGATGGCCTAAAACTTTGCTAGGGCATGCCAGGCCGCACCATGCCACTGTTTTATCGTCTCGCGAATATCCCAAGCACCAATTCTACACTCATTTAGGACATGTAGTCAATTACATTGCCATAGGACTACCGTTTGAGATCTTTCAAGCAAGTACGCAACACGTGACGCGTCAATCTGCGTTTGAAGGTCTGAACCTGGCGACGATAGGTCAGGGCGCTACATGTCACCGTTTAGTCGTCTTGCTTGTTTCACCTCCACCAATTCTACACTCATCAAGTACTGTATTCATTTACCTTGTCATAGGATCTCGTCTGAGTTCATTCGCACAACAACGCATCAAGTGACTCGCCTTTGAGCGCTTGACGTCATGAAAAAATGATAGGATATGCCAGGGCACAACATGTTACCGCTTCAACGTCTCGCGTTTATGTTAGCAACGATTGTACACTCATGCAAGTACCCTAGCCTATTACCATGCTCTAGGAACTCGTTCGAGTTCCGTCACACACGTACGCAGCACGTGACACTTCTTTGTGCGTCCGATGGCCTGAACATGTGCGAGGATATGTCAGGGCGCAACATGTTACTGTTCAGTCATCTCGCTGTTTTTTCCAGCACCAATTTTCACTCATTCAGAAACTGTAGTTATTTACCTTGCGTTAGGAGCTCGTCTGAGGTCATTCGCACAACTACGCATCAAGCGACACGCCTTTGTGCGCTTGACGGCCTGGAACAGTGCGAGGATAGGCCAGGGCACAAGATGTCACCGCTTCAACGTCTCGCGTTTTTTTTTTTTTGCACCGATTCTACACTCATCCAGGTATTGTAGCCTACTACCATGCTATAGGAACTCGTTTGAGTTCCTTTGCACACGTACGCATCACGCGACACGTGTTTTTGCGTCTGATGGCCTGAACATGTGCGATGGATAGGTCAGGGCGCAACATGTTACTGTTTAGTCGTCTCTCTAACTTTCCCACCACCAATTCTTTACTCATTCAAGCATTGTAGTCATTTGCCTTGTCACAGGAACTCGTCTGAGGTCATTCGCACAACTATGCCTCACGTGACACGCCTTTGTGCGTCTGACGGCCTATAACAGTTAGAGGATAGGCCAGGGCACAACTTGTCACCGCTTCATCGTCTCGCGTTTTTGTCTAACGCCTAATCTACACTTATTCAGTTATTATAGCCTTGTACCATGCCCTATGAACTCGTTTGTGTTGATTCCCAACATCTACGCAGCACGTGACGCTTCTTTGTGCGTCTGATGGCCTAAACGTGTGCGAGGATTGGTCAGGGCACAACATGATTTTGTTTAATCGTCTAGTTGTAACGAAGAAACACCAATTCAACACTCATTCACCTACGGTAATCATTTACCATCACAAAGAAACGCGTCTGAGATCAATCGCACAACAACGCATCAAGTGACACGCCTTTGTGCGCTTGATGGCCTGAAACAGTGCGAGGGTAGGCCACGGCACAACTAGTCACCGCTTCAACGTCTCGCGTTTTTTTTAGCACCGATTCTACACTCAGCCAACAATTGTAGCCTGGTACAATGCCCTATTCCTTCGCAGTCGTGGGCAGCACGTCACACTTCTTTGTGCGCCCGATGGCCTGAACATGTGCGAGGTTAGGTCGGGGCGCCCCATATAACCGTTTCATCGTCTGGCTGCTTTCTCCGCCACCAATTCTACACTCATTCTGGTTTAGGAGTCATTTACATTGTCATCGGTACTCGTCTAGGGTCATTCGCACAAGTACGCGTCAGGTGACACGCGTTTGTGCGCTTAACGGCCTGAACATGTTTGAGGAAAGTTCAAGGCGCAACATGTCAATGCTTAGTCGTGTCGCTATTTTCTCCACCACCAATTCTACACTCATTCAGGTATTGTAGTCATTTACCTTGTCATAGGAACTCGTCTGAGATCATTCGCAGAACTGCGCATCAAGCGACACGCCTTTGTGCGCTTGACGGCCTGAAACAATGCGATGATAGGCCAGGGCACAACATGTCACCGCTTCATCGTCTCGCATTTTGCGGGGCGCCGATTGTACACTCATCCAGGTATGGCAGCCTATTACCATGCACAAGGAACTCGTTTGAGTTCATTCGCACACTTACACAGCACTTGACGCTTCTTTGTGCGTCTGATGGCCTGAACATATGCGTGGAAAGGTCAGGGTGCCCCATGTTTCCGTGTCATCGTCTGGCTGTTTTTTAAAAGCACCATTTCTTCATGCACACAGGTAATCCTATCACATAACGTGTCATAGGAACTCTTCTGAGGTCATAAAAAACGACTACGCATTAAGTGACGCTCCTTTGTGCGTCTGACGGCCTGAAACTGTGCGAGGACAGGCCAGGGCGCAACATGTCACCAAATCTACACTCATCCCTGTACTGTAGTTAATTACCTTGCCATAGGAACTCGTTTGAGATAATTTGTACCATACCGCAACACGTGACGCTTCTTTGTGCATGATAGTGCCAGAAACCTGTACAGGGATAGGAGAATAGACGACAATGCACCGTTTCATCGTTTGTCCGTAATTATACACACGCACCCAGTATTTCACACTCATTTAGCCTGGATTGGGCAACCGCGGAGTTCCGGCTATGGCATGTGAAAATGAGTAAGCAGGAAATGAATGAACTATGAATGAAAGCAGTACAAATATGAAACCCTAACTGGGTTGTACCCCCTATGGGATACCCCACTACAGCCTACACAGCAGTATAAGCTATAGATATGTTCTGACACACCCCCATAGGCAAAGTGGGGGAGAACAAGGGGTCACAAGACCAGTCAAGCAAGACAAATCAAAGCTCAGGGTGGATCACAAAGTCACCACACAGTCCGAGCACAAGAGCAAGGCCAAAGGCCAGTTCACAAGCAAGAGTACAGACATATATATAAAACTAGACAAGCAAGAGCAGGTATATATATATGTCACAGTACAAGTAAAGTCAAGAGGAGAGCAAGTG